TGAGAGGCCAATTAATTAAGAGAAAAAAAAACTTTTGAAGTGATAATCAAGCTAGCCCAGTACAGACAGTTTGAAAGATCTGAAGAATTTGACAGAAAATAAGCTACTTTAGGAAAAACCCCAACGTTAGGAATAAGCACTTTTTCCTACTATAAGTCTCAGAAGTTAGAAGTTCAACAGAAAGAAGGTTTCTCTCTTCAGCCCGAGGCACAGCAGTATTTGCAATTTATCCTGAAACTCCCAAGCAGGCAGTTCCCAAATTCAACTACTTAGCAGCTGTAAACATCATCTATATTTGATTCAGATGGTGCAATCTCTCTGCTTTCTCACTATCCAGCCAAAATTGGGGCCTGGATGAAGGTTAGATGGTGGAGACTCAATCCACAGAAGAAAGAGGTAATACTGGTTGGCACAGAAAATATTCAGAAGAGATGTTAAGGCTGATACCTGTCCTTGGACTAGAGGGTGTTTATCTGCATTTAGTCAGTAAGGTGTACAAGCCAGGGATCCTGCTAGAACCCCAGTATTTTTTAGCACTAAAGTAGCATTAGTAGCCAAGAAGAGTTCTTCTCATCTATGTATAACTAGCAGATTGGAACCTCTCTTTTTGGATACAAAGCTGTCCATTTATCCGGTCTTTGTCACCTCAAGCTGCAATTATTATTGCACACAAAGCTATCATTGAAGACCACTCACATTTCAGCTAGTGCAGAATGCAATTCCTGAATATTTAGTGGTGCTTCTCGCTGGGAGAATGACACCTGTAGTCCACAGGATGCTCTTAATAACTTTATAATTTTGTTCCTGACTATTGCAGAGAACACCTCTCCTCATGCTATACCACAGCAGTTGAGGTCAGTTGAAGAACTGACTTAAAAGCCCCCACATTTAAAAGGGGAATGGTTGGTGGCATAGTGTTCCCAGCTACGGGCCCTCAGTTCCAGATCTCACTCCACACATTGATCTGACAGAGGAGACTTTGTTGACCTTCATAGAATGCTATAGGGCTCATCTATTTTTCTCACGGGCTTTTCCCTAAGCAGATATTTGGGACAGATCTCAAGTTTTTTTCTATTTCAGTAGAATGGCAGAGATGTAACTTTTTGGGGGGAGGCAGGAGGAAAGCTGATTGGCTCAAGGTTTTTTGGTAACATTTGAATGTATTTTTTTAATATTGTAAATGCACTAAGATTTCCAATTACCACATTTATGCCAGCGGAAGATGGATGGGATCGATGGTCACGAGACTTTCAAAACAAATTGGAGTTACAGGAACATCTTATTTTTTTAAAAATTAGGTGAATGCTTCTGTAAAATTCTGCATCTAAAAGAGAGCCAAGATTGCTCACTGGAACTCTCATCACATAGCTGCATCATCTTACCTTCTGCTGAAAATCCTACCCACATCAGGTAGGATTTCCTTGTAAGAGGAAGTGGGTTTCCATGTAAAACCTGTCTCTTCTTTTTTCCTAACTCTATCAGCTGTACTCCAAGGCACTGGTCCCCATCAAAGCCAGTACCTAGTAAGAAAAGAAGGTCAACCCAATGACTGTATTGCATAACAATATAATTTTAGATTTGAATAGACAGAATCTGATGGTAAAATGCATCTTCCTCTTTCTGAGCTCATTTTAAATATAAGTTTTTAATTGAACACTTACCTGACTAATTCTATTTCAGGTCCATGCCTTAACTCCAAGGTCAAATAACTGAGAACCCAATTCTGATCTCAGATATGTGGGTACATATTGTGTGCATCTTATAAGATCAGCTACAGCTCTTACAAGCACATGCGTAATATTTGTTTTTACAAACTACAGGGGCAATTTGCTCCCGTGTATCTGAAATCCAAGTTGGATCGTGGCTATCTTACAGTTATGATCCTCCCCCCTCAAACTTAGCCAATTATCAAAACATTTCATTTGTTCCTGCCTAGCAATTAAATGTCTATAGCATATTCTTCTTCAGAATTCAAGATATTTTAAGTGATAGATGTGTATAAATATGCAATGAGGCCAACATTTGCAAACTTGACTGCCTAAAATTTCAAGCAACAATTTTTTTTGCTGATTTTCACAAGTGTTGAGCACCTACAACTCCTACTGAAGTCAATGGGAGCTGTGCATCCTTAGCACCTTTCAAAATTAGGTTACTTATTTTTAGGTGCCTAATTTAAGACACTCGAGTTTGAATATGTAGGTTTTATTTTGTTTAATAACATTTGTGGGTTTGCAGCAATCAAAGGAGTAACTGGTGGAGGAGGAGAGAGGAAGCACAGAGTGAGGAAAAGAAAAGAAGAACTGGTGACCATGCACAATAAACCAATACTTGAAATCACTAACAAGAGATGGTAGGGATTTAAAACAAACCAAAAAAAGAGTATGAGAGGAAGAAGAGTACCTCTGTGATAAATAACCACAAGCTGCTCTCCATGTCCCGCCATTGACACCACTGGACCAGGGAGACTGAAGATCTCTTTCTGAACTCCACCAATTGTAAACACACGAGTTAGCATGGCACTAGTGGCACAAGCAGCCCAGCCCTGACCCAGACAAATAGCTTCAATATCTTCATCCTTTGGCATATCTACTGTCCATTCCTTGTTGGAATCCCAAGAGCTAAAATGAACGCAATGAAGCTTGCTAAAAAATAAGAGGAATAAAAGGAAAACATTTAAACATTTAAATCTGAAATAGACAGCGTGACTTAAAATACACCGTCCACTTACCTGTGCTCTGTAAAGTTTTATTGTTTTCTGAGACTGGGGATTACCTACAATTTGCAACTATATCAGATAAGTGAAATGGCATGATACTTGCAGATTACCATTTATAATCCTATTGCTCAGTGACTGATCATCCAATTCAATTTGCAGCTTCAGAAATCCAAGCTTCAGAAATCCAGATTCTTAAAAAGCATGATGTGGAATCTGATTGGAGTCTATGGGTGGGATGTTCAGATGCGCTGAGCAACTCGAACTCCAATTAAAATTAATGGGAGCTGAGGGTGCTAACCACGCCTGAAAATCAGGCCCTACAAATCTTGTCACATTTTCCTGACAAATTCTGTTGTTTTTTTAATTAAAACTTTTAGTTTTTAAAATTTAAGCTTTAAGAGATAGACATAAGCAAATTGCTTTAAAAATTTCAATTTGATGAGAGTTTATTTGCATGAATAGTTCTATTCAGTGCTGCAAGGATATAAAAAAAATAAAAAAGACAACTCCCACAGATATCTGTCAGAGGTAAGTAAGATCTACCCAGGGATAGGGCTACATGTTTAGGGTTTGATCCCTGTGTCCATGATTCATTACTGCCCATTATATTCCTGATTGTCATTTAAAAGTGGAATTCCAAGTGCAACATCTTTCATATGGCAAATTTAAAAATACAGCCACTTTAGAGTCCTGTTACATTCAAACACCAGAAGGCAAAAAAGGCAGACTCCCAAGTGTTTGACACGGTACCCCAAGTGTTTGACACACTTTTGAAAAAGCCTTGGAAAACGTACAGGTTTTTCAGAGCTCCTATAACTAGTAGATGCTGATCACATTTTATAAATTAAGAGCTACATTTTGGCTAGTTGTACATGGACGAACTGGGTGAGGAAATGGGTAGAAGATCCTTCTCTCCCCAAAACACTCACTTAAGAATCAGGCAGAATGTTATCGCTATTACTCCTTAAGTGTAAGGGAGAACATTCTAGCATGTCTAGCTGCTGTTGGAAAGCATGTACTGCACGTTTCATCAGCAGGTTCTAAGAAGCACTATACAGTGCACAACTTAAGTCATTCTGTCAGTGTGTGCCCTGCAGCTAAAATGCATCTCCTCACCAATGCTCAGACACAATAGCTTTCTATCATCACTCCTACTACTGCAGAGAGAAGTAACAACCTGGCCAACAGTACCTTATCATGCATTATTGACTTGAGGGGATTGAAATTCTGTCATTAGTATGTACAGTTTCTCTTGAGACATCAATGCATTAAAATCTTCCAATATACACTTGGAAAGACAGAAGAACTTCAAACAACAAGAAACAAAGAAAAGCTAACTGCACTACATAAAGTATTAGGATACTCCTTAAATCTACATAGTGGAAGGATGTGAAAATCTACCACCAATTTTTTTTTAAAAAATCAAGAAGCAAAAAGTTATAACTATAAAGAGCTCTTCGAACATGCTGACTTTAATTCCACAGTACAGTTTCCATGCAGATGCACTACAGTTTACCTTGCAAGTTCCTCTGTGCTCTCACATGCCAACAGGATAGCTTCACTGGAGAGATCAGCCATTGTGTGATTCAGAGAATTTGGCAAGTGTGTTGCATGATGTATAGAGGTATCGTGAAACTCCACATCTATAGCGTTGTCTTGCTCATCATTATAACAACGAATAATACCAATAGAGTTCCACACCTGTAAGATAAAAGGTGAAGAATATGAGCAATTCCAAAGAAGCTAGTTAAATTATTCACACCTATGAACAGCTTAAAAAGTTTTTTTTTTTAATCAAATTCATGGCTCCTGAATAAAAATATAACTGGCTTTCATCTGTAGAAACCCACCCACCCAGAGTGGCCGTGGCTGTCAGCTGCTGGGGCCAGGAACTGTCCCCCTGCTCCTCCCTATGGCCGGAGCTAGAGCTGTCCCCTCTCCCCGTGCCTCCCAGCAGCTGCAGCTGGAGCTGTCAGCAGCCAGGCCTGGAGTTGGCACTATCCGCCCCCTCCCCCCCCCATAGCAGCAGGAACTGTCAGTCCCCACCTCCCCCCCACAGTGGGACCTGGGCTGCCAGTCCCCCCAGCAGTCAGCCTTTCCCCCCACCCCAGTTATTTTTAGTAAAAGTCATGGAAAGGTCGCAGGCTTCCGTGAATTTTTGTTTATTGCCCACAACCTGTCCCTGACTTTTACTAAAAATAACAATGCCAAAATCTTAATCTTAGTCACAGTTGAAGATAAACGATTTAAAAGAGTATTTTATCTAGAATGCAATAGCACAGGTACAAAATGTCATATTTTAATTTTCCCTTAAAACTAAATATTGTGTCTACATCAAAATAAATAAAAATAGGAACTTCTAACTCATGTATGATTTGGGCAAGTTATTTAACCTCTCTACAGCCAAGTTTCTCCATGTGTAAAATGGGGATATATATATATATATATATTATATATAATGCTTACCCATCTTTTTAGAAGTACTTTGAGATTTACAGGTAAAAGATGCTAAGTGCAAAGAATACCATTAAGAGTTCTGGGTATTAACAGAAGGCTACTTTAATTATTTAGCTTCAGAGTTATGTCAAATTTTACAGCTTTTCAAGATAACAGTAAAAAATTTGATTTTAGTCTTAGACAAGTCAAACAAGAAGTAGTGTAATTAATTACTGAAGAAGTTATCATACCAATCAACGCAGCCATAGATAAAATTAGACTTACCATGAAGCGGTGCGTGAGGTGCGACGGGGTGGAACCAGACTGGAATGGCTTTTGTTGGGGGGTTGGCATTGGTCCGTCATAGAAAGGTCTTTGGGTGGTTGATACTGGCAGAACTGGAATGCTACCATCTTGGTCATTGTCATCATCTTTTTCAAGATTGGAATTAACTTTCATCAGTGCAGTATCTAGAAGGTAAAACTTTAATATCAGAGAATTACAATGGCAGATGAGATAGAAAACAATTAAAGAAAACACTAAAAACTGTGTAGTGTGATAAAACAGAGGCCATATTTGAACAGAGGATGTAGGTAAGACTCAATAAAACACTATCAGATCCTGAAAAAACATTATAAGAGCCAGTTCATTCTGTACCTAGTGAGTTCTCATCATCCTCTATTATTGCCCCTCGGTGTCTAGGATGGCCTGAAGCTAGCATGAGGTCGTCATCATCATCATCTTCCTCATTAGATACGACTTTTGGAGATGACCGTGGCTCAACCAGGTCTGTGTTTAAAAAGTCATCATCTTCATCAAAAAGATCATTGTAGTCCTTTGTCACTGCACTGGAGACCTAAAGTGAAATAACAGTCCTCAAAGAGCATTTTTCTGAACCTGGCATTCACAAATTGGATTAGCTAATAACCAAACCAAACAGGGGCTGAGTCTCCTAGAGCTTTGAGGTTTTATGTGCTCAGTCAAAATAAGAATGATTGCTTAACCAATACAGATGAGGGTTAAGTAATATTTTTATTACCTTGCCACTTGATTTCTTTCCATCTCTATTACAAACATTCTCAAGCAGCCCCAGATTTCCTTCAGTGTCTGTATATGCTATTTGCCCACCTTTGGGGTGCCATGCCAGCCCACAAATGGTGTAACCTTTCTCATGTTTCATCCTAAAAACAAAAACAAAAAATGTTTTTAAGCTTCTTAAGGTAGGAACCTTCATAAGTGTATTCTGCAAAGTTCTAGTGCTCCTTGGCGCTATAAAACAACATATAGATAAATGTAGCAACAACAAAATTAAGAGGTGCAGAGAAGGGCTACTACAATGATTAGAGAAATGGAGAAACTGCCTTATGACAAGTATCAGAGGGGTAGCCGTGTTAGTCTGAATCTGTAAAAAGCAACAGAGGGTCCCTGTGGCACCTTTAAGACTAACAGAAGTATTGGAGCATAAGCTTTCGTGGGTGAATGCCCACTTCATCACACTGATGAAGTGGGCATTCACCCACGACAGCTTATGCTCCAATACTTCTGTTAGTCTTAAAGGTGCCACAGGACCCTCTGTTGCCTTATGACAGGAGACTTAAGGAGCTTGGCTTGTTTAGCTAAAAAAAACAAAGGCTGAGGGAAGATATGATTGCTCTCTATAAATACATTAGTGGGATAAACAACAGGAAGGGAAAAGAGTTATTTAAGTAAAGGGCTAATGTTGGCACAAGAACATATGGATATAAACTGGCCATCAACAAGATTAGGCTTGAAATTAGACAAAGATTTCTTACCATCAGAGGAGTAGTGTTCTGGAACAGCCTTTCAAAGGGAGTAGTGTGGGCAAAAAAAACTAACTTGTTTCAAGACTGAGCTTGATAAATTTATGGAGAAGATGGTATGATGAGGTTGCCTCCAATGGCATACAGCACATCCACGACTGCTATTACCAAATATCTCCAAGGGCCACAAATGGGACTTTAGATGGGGAGAGTTCTGGGGGAAGAGAATTTTTTCCCATGTGTCTCGCTGGTCAGACTCGCTCACATGCTCAGGGTCTAACTGATCACTGTATTTGGGATTGTGAAGGAATTTTTCCCCCAGGTCAGATTGATAGAGATCCACAGTGGGTTTCGCCTTCCTCTGCAGCATGGGTCACTTGCTGGTTTGAACTAGAGTAAATGGTGGGTTCTCTGTAACTTGAACTCTTTAAAAATCAAGATCTGAGGACTTCAATAACTCGGCCAGAAGTTATAGGCCTATTGCAGGAGTGGGGGGTGGGGAGAGGGCCAGATCTGTGGCCTGTGATGTGCAGGAAGTCAGTCTAGATCAGGAATACTCAATTAGATTTACCAGGGGCCAATTTGAGAATTTTATGACAAGAGGCAGGCCATTAGTGCAGAAGGCTAACAACACAGAACAAAACTTCAGCTGCCACTAAATAAAGACATAAGTATTAGTGTTTCTTTTAACAAAATGTATAAATCAACATGATTGCCAGAAACAAAGGTAATGTCTAATGGGAGAAATGACATTGACGATCTCTGGCAAGCTTTGTGAAGAGTGTTTTGTAGGAGGTCAGGGCAAGGCACACGCACTGTTGAAGATGCTCATTGTCAGGCAATTGCAGCGTTGTTTTTTTATAATGTTCATGGTAGAAAACCCAGATTCGCAGAGGTATGTTGATCCAAACATTGTTAAAAGATAGATGGCTAGATTCTGGCTATTCTGAAACTGCTCAGCATATTGAGTCCAGAAATCACAAGTCCCACTTCTCTGAATTTTGCCTTCAAGACATCTGAGCTCTGGTGCCTTACAATTTCTAACTGAAGGGAACCTTCATCAATTAAATCAAGAATGTTCTTTGCTTTAGAAGGGCAAGGTCCATCAGCAGAAACAACAAACAGATGACATAAATAAAAGCAAATCCATTGGAATTTTAAAATTCTCAAATCACATTTTAAAATTTTCAATCAGATTGTTTAGGAATTCTTGGATCGTTTTCATTGAAGTTTCATCTGTAACAACAACATGCAATGTGGGAAAATGCAGCATTTCCCGTTAAGTCTGTCTGAAAGATTTCACGATTCCTCTGAAAGGCACACACCTTTTCAAACAGATCCCCGACACTGCTTGCATGGCCTTGGAGCTGCAAGCTGAGGGAATTCAAGTGACCAATAATATCGTACAGAAAAGTTACCTGTGACATAGAGGAGACATCATTTATAAATTCCAGGAACTCGCAAGCCTTGGTATTGTGGTTTGAAAGAAATTTGATTATTTCTTTTTGAAGTGCACAACACTTCTCCAACATGCACCTCCTACTTAACCAGTGAATGTCGTTGTGCTGCAACAGGTCACTGTATTCAGCTGAAACGTCTTGTAAAAAAAAGCTTTAAAAAGACTATGTTGCAAGCTAGAAGTTGAGTGTATGTAGTTCATTAATGTCATCACAATACCCATTGTCTGGGGACTTGGGAAAAAAAAACAATTTACTGCATAGGACAGTCTGGTGAATGAAGCAGTGAAGTGTATTTAATGAAGGGTGTATCGCTGCCAAACGTGAAGCAAAGCCCTTTTCTTTCCCTGCCAATCTGTAACAATCAAATTTACTTTCTGCAGATTTAAACCATTTTTTTCAAAAAAGCCTTTTACCTTTTCAAAAATGATCTCTCCTGTGGAGTAGGATTCTAATGATTTTAAGCACAAAAATTCTTCCTTGAAAATTTCACCATTATAAAATCTAACAAGCAGTGATAGCTGGACAGTGTCACTTAAATCACTTGATTTGTCCACTGAAAGAGACATGTATTTGGCATTTTTTAAATCAGAAAGAAGTGCCGACAAACAATCCTCGTAAATTACCTCCAATCTTTGCACTGCCGTGGAATCAGACAGGAGAATTTGCTTCATATGGTTCACATTGTCATCTTTGTTTTTATCTCTGGCAAAAAGCTCCTCCAGCATTTCCAATGGCATTTCTTCACAAGCTTGGCACCCAAGAAAGGGTTTTTCTTTTTAGCTAGTACCAACATTATCCGAAGAGAAGCAGCTGTTGCTTTTTCCTGTAGTCACTGATGTTGTGAGAATGATATTTGAAATGTGATACGAAGACTTCAGATTTTCAATTTTGTCACGTCTTGCAACACTGCCAGGAGGCTAGGCCGCGTTGAAGTTACTGTGCTTTGATTCAAAGTGTCACCTCACATTGATGACCTTACAGATGGATACAGTGGTTTGGCATATTAAACGCAAAGGTTTTGTGTTTAAATGAGGAAAATCAGCTGTCCAGTTTAGGTTAAAAGCTTGTTTTGCTGTCGACTTTGCAATGTTTACTCCCACTCGCATTCATTTTTGGCTTCATTTCCATCATTAATGAAAAAATGGGCAGCACCCTAGCTCAATCATAGCCAATGCTATCACGAGAACTTAGGATCTGGTAAGCAGTGCTTAATTTGTGCCAGGGAATGCTGGGGCTCAGCCCTGGCACCTCTGGACTCCCAGCCAGCAGCTGCCCAGCTCCGGCTGCCCAGCTCTTAAGGCAGCGCCATTGTCAGCAGCAGCGCAGAAGAGTGGCACTACCATGCCACCCTTACCTTTGTGCGGCTGCTGGTGGCAGCGCTGCCTTCAGAGCTGGGCACCCAGCCCGTAGCTGCCCCTCTCCAGTCGCTTAATTTGTGCCAGGACTTGCTGGGGCTGAGTCACCTCAGGCAAATTAAGCATTGCAAGTAAATTACTTACTAAGTATCAGGGGGCAGCCGAGTTAGTCTGTATCCACAAAAACAACAAGGAGTCCGGTGGCACCTTAAAGACTAACAGATTTATTGGGGAATAAGCTTTCGTGGGTAAATAAATCTGTTAGTCTTTATGGTGCCACCAGACTCCTTGTTACTTACTAAGGAAATCATAGGCAAATGATAGGCAGCGGAACATATTTTTAAGGTGAGCTGGCGGGTTATACAGGAAGCTTTGTCAGGCCTGCAGGCCGCCTACTGAGTATCACTGGTCTAGATGATCACGATGGTCCTTTCTGGCCTCAAAGTCTATGAAGTGAAGTGAAGTTAGCAGAAATATGTAATATAGCACCTAAAAGTTCTTCTTTTCATATGAAGAAAATCAATTAGAGTTTTAAAAAAAATTAATAAATCAGAATTATATTCATGAAATGATAATTTCCCACTATAGGTGGAAAAAGAGAAGTAATTCTCCAGCAGACATGTCCTGCTGAATTGTCCAGTTACAATAGCACACACGGCTGCTCTCGTGAATCATATTTGACTAATTAGCCCTTTGCCTCAAATGTCAAATGGATTAAGTCTCCTCTCTCCCTTTGTTCTCATGTAAGTGTCCTCCTACGAATCATCGGTGTATAATCTTCCTGGGCTCCTAACATGTATTTTAAAAGTAATAATCATGTTTCTTATCTGACTTATTCACATGCAAAACCCCTCCCTCCTCCTCACTTCATCATACTTATGGAACAGAGATACTTTACTAACAAGACAGTAGCACAATCAGGTTCTGCCTTTTCTCCTTTGGGGCAAAGAAGAAAAAGATTCATCAAGGAGTCAACCACTCTATTTCCCCACTTCCTGTTTTAAGTATCCCATTCTTGAAAAAATGCATCACAAGAGCCATTGTTCTTGCCCTTTCGGGAGGCTCAAAGCTATAGTTCCCTCACAGCCTGTCACAACACTACTCTTTATAAATTAACCGAAGGATGAAGGTGAGTAATAAAATGCATCACCTTATCCACTGAGGGCTAGATAGTGGTATTTAGTCATAAACCCACACTCGGGTCCCTGCCCCAGAAGAATTGCCAGGAGGCATTCTGACTCAAAGTGAGAATACCTCCCAGAGAGGTTATCTTGGTTACCCTGAGAGGAAAGCATGGTGCACACTGCACACTATGTGTACATGTGTGATGATGCCTTGGCTTTGCCTACTCCCCTCCCTCTTTCTGGAAAGTTGCTCCTGGTGAGGGGAAGAGGTAAAGTATCTCAAGCAGCCCCTGAGCTCCCTTGAGTGCAAGAGAAAGTGGAATTTTTTGTAAATCTAAATATATATCTTTTTAAGAGCTTTCTATAAGAAAATTATGTATCTATTTACATGGACAAAGTCTAAAAATAAGGGATAAGAAAAAATCCCCTTTGTGAAAACAATAGATAAATATTTATATATTGTATGGAAAGCAATGAATACCTCTCCACGCACTGCTGGGTGTCCACATTCCAAACTGCTATACAACCATCGACACTTCCAGCTGCCACATACTGTCCGCAGGGAGACCAGGTCACAATACTCAGAGTCTAGGGAAAGTAGACATTACTATTAGTTGCGTGCTGACAATGTTCTTGGTCCTGTATAGTAAAATAGACATCTATGAAAAAGATTAAGAACTTTTAGCAAACTGTATCCAGCTGTCCGTGGGAGGATTTTTTGCTACCCTCGTATAAGAGCCACTCTTTAAAAATCAGAACATTTTTTTATTCCTTTTCATTCAGAGTACTTATTTTTAGTCACTTCATGCTGTAGAGAAGTGCAACGAAGTCTGAGTTTTTCAAATGTCTTGCAACACATGGACAGAAGTAAAATGCATTTTGCAACTGCAAAAAGCAACCATTTTAGGTGGAGTTATGTACACATAAAAGACTTTTATATTTTAATATTTGAAAGACTATTAAGATCTGTTCCATTGACGATTCTCCCAGTGATTTACACATGTACTGTACCAAGACTCTTGTAGGCCTAGGTACACATACATCTAAATTACTATGTAGGTGAATTAGCATTCTTCTACCCAGCGATCTCCAAAGACATGATGTTATAAGACAGAGGATAGCAAAGTTGCTATTTCCCTACTATGTAGGCAGATTTCAATTCATCAAAATATAGAGTAGAATAATGAAATCTCTACTATGCAAGCAAGCAAAGAAATATTTCTAACAGTTCTTTTTGTATGAAATCTATTTGGAACAAACATCTGGAACAGATGTTCCCAAACTCAGGCCCACAGAGATCTGGCTGGTTACATGGTGCTGTCTCTCCTCTTGATTTTCTACCACATTGCATCCAAGGATACTTCAAAACACTTTATATAGAAAAGTAATATTAGGAAAGTATCTAAACTACTGCTATAGATTCCACAAGATTGCAAATGAGAGGGAAATTGACCTGGAGGGTAAATGTCCATGAGACAATTTCTAAGAGGATGTGTTTCACCCTATGACAAAGTTTGCAAACCTATGATTTAGGGCACGCACTTACCTGAGTAATGAAATTATCTGAAAGATCAAATTGATTATTCCAAGTTTCTCTTCTGTACAGTTTAACAACTTTCTCAACTGGAACTGCTAGTAACTATTTAGGGGGGAAAAAAGTGTTAATTTAGGACAAATCAAATTTAAACAGTTTATTTTTATTTCACGTTTCCTGTCCCATTCAAATAAGGCTAATTACAGCAGCCAACAAGCAGTGTAGTTCCTTTATTCAGAAGGGATATTATAGTTGTAACTGCCAAAACAGCCAATCTGACACAGTATCTTTTAATTAGCATCTCAACATTGTTGATTGATACAATAAAGACAGATAAAAACATTGTGAATTATATTGGAAATTTCAAGAAACCGTAAGTAAGCATATTTGAGCACAGCAGTTTGTATTTTAATCTGCATTTATTTCTGGCAGAAGGATGAAGAGGCTGACCGCTGACCCTGAAAATTACAGAAATTCTAACTTTTGGAACAGCTAGCAAAATTTATAAATAGTTTTCAACTGCTTATAAATAAAACTTCCCCCCCCATGAACCCCTTCAAAAGTTGATATCTATAAAACCTTTTGAGCTGATTTATTAATATCTTATACTTATATTGTTAGATAATATTTTATATATCAATCTTTGAATATTTGATTCCTAAACAGGATAATTTCACCTAATTCAAAGAGTACAAAAAAACAAGGAAAAAAACAGAGTTATTGCCAGTCACCCCATAGACCACTGTAGGTCAAAGTACTTCTTACATTATGTCTAAATAAGAAAAATAATACATTTGTTTAAATTTCAAAATATGAATGCAATATAGATTGTTCTGCCAATCAAAATTGTTACTGTTTTAGAGTTGTATACAAATTGTATACCTGTAGAGCAACGTGCAAATCTAATGGACTGTAAGTGATATTGAAGCAGGCACAAAAGGGTGATACATGGTCTTCTGCACCACTTAAGCCTCCTGGCACCAGAGCTAGTGGACATGGGCTAAGAGACTCTACATAAAGCCTCAGAACAAGATGGCCTGAAGTGGATTATTCAGACAAGGTTTGTGAGGGGACAATGGAAATGCACTTATGCAGATCCAGTGGATGGGAACCCCAACATGGGGTGTAGAAGTTGCAACCATTTTTTCAGATCATAAGCTGGAAGAGAGGTTTTTCCATATCTCCCACTTTCACTTAGCTCCCTGTCCAAAGCCCCTTTACTATGGCTATGTGCAGGGTAAGTTTCACATTATATATACACATTTTATTTGTAATGTAACAATCAGCACTTCTTCATTCACACTAAAATCAATTTTCTTCTTCTGTTGAAAATACAGTAACTTATTATTTAAAAGGCTTGTTTATTTATTCAATAGAAATTATTCACAGTATAAAGTTTACTTACATGAAAGAACGACTGAACCACTTTGATACCTAGTAGTGAACAAAGAAGTTATTTCCCCACCAACAGGGTTCCTTCCTGTTCAGCATAACTTGAATATATAATACTGTATCAGGCTGACAGCTGGAGTATTGCCAGCCTCACTTTGGCACTGGCTATACAGTACTTTAACAAGTATCCATTTCCAGGTTTTGTTTTTTTTTTTAAATAATTTCATCAAACAAACTTTTCTTATTTTTTGGTGTTGGGATATGGATTGGCCTGGATTAAATTCCGTTGTTAACAATCAATGTGCCAAGTACTCGCAGAGAGAGAGAGAGGACTAATACAGACAGCAAAACAATGTGTCACTTACCTTCCCACTTTTAGGCTGCCAGGCAAGCCTACATATTGATTTAGCATTTATCACATCGTTACACTTCTGCAGCAGTGGCCAGCTTGTCACGCATGTCTGAAAACAGAATATTTAGGAACTAGGTTCTCTACATTGCAATTGCAAAAATCCTTCGGTATTGTAAAAAAGAAAGTCTTAAAAGTGGAGTGTGGGGAAAAGAGGTAATTATACTAGAATTGTGGAAGGGAGTAATATCTCTCACCCAAATATGATAGTAAGTCTGTCTTACTATTATTATTATAAAAAACCATGCCCAGGTTTTATAACTTAGTGAAAATATTTTTATAAAAGTATAGCTACTTATAAAATATAGCATAATGTCTCAGACCAAACGCAAACCTTTCATTTTTAGTTAAATGTGGTACAAATCAGACTGGTTATTCTACCTGATTAATACTTTGTAAAACCACAATGATTTTAATAGGGTTGGACAGGGTGTGTGTCAAGGCAGGATTTGACCACAGCAATAAAAAAAGGGTTGTATTGTTGTGCCCCATATTACTGCTTATACATTAAAATGCAAATCACAGCTATGATCTCAAAACATTGCATACGAAAAGTTACAGTGCCAGCATAGCTATACGAAAGGCATCCACAATCATAGATTCTAATGCTAGGTCTGACAATTTAGGTATGTATTTGTCTTAAAAATTAGCAAATCACAAGGATACTACTCAATCCTGCAATCAGCCCATGTAGAATTACTCCCATTTGGAGTCCCATTGCAGAGTCAACGGGACTTAAGCAAAAGTAATTCTAGACACAACTCTGCAGGATTGGGCCCTAACTCTGGAGAACTACATTATTATGAGCTTTTGTTAGCATTAAACCTACAAATTAGATTTCATCTGAGTTAGGATTTTTAAAATATTTATCTTTTCCATTTCTTGCCAATACACCAATTCTGACACATCCAAAGACAAAACGCATTCTTTTAGTTAAGACCATTCTTTTGTAAAATACACACAGTAAAATCTAAGGTTTAACTCCAAAAGATTAGCATTTTACCTGATCTGAGATTTTCCATACTCTGACAGACCCATCACAGCTTGCTGATGTCTATATAAGAAAGAGTAGTTTTTAAAATGTCATCAACAATTCACAGTAAAAGTAGCAAAAGTCATGCTACAATTAAAAGCTTAAGAGGTGTACAGCCAGCAATATAGACACATACTATATGAACAGCCTTTAAACAAACTCACAATAAATTGCATATGATTTATATTTTTTATATTAAATAAAATATAAATCATCGTTTGAAAATATATGAAACTCTTGTTCATTCCAAAGCTTCTGTATTTACAAATTCTTCACAATGAAATACTTAAAATTAGATGTCTTTTTTTTTTAAATCAACATTTTGTTTTAAATTATATTAGTGGATTAACTTCTCCTCTCAGCAGTAAGGACAATACAAAAATTTCACATTGAGAATGTACATGTAGGAAAGTAAAGCTAAGGTTATTGGAGACAGTTTGATATTAACAAGACCCTTTTGATGGGCCATGCTCAGTAGACAAATTAAAAAAAACAAATGTCCTCTGTGCCTCTGGACCATTTTATGATTTAAGATCCCATAAGAAACATAAAATATGAACTGCTGGAGGAAAAAGTAGTACAAGGTAGAAAGTGACAGGAAAATGTTTTACCAGAAAAGCATCTTGGGGATCAAAAGACAGACTTAGGACAGGGGCATCATGTCCTCTGAATGTTTTCTGTTGGCTGCTATCTGTCACCTCCACAACTTTGACCATAAAATCACTGCAGATGAGAGAAATGCACTTAATTAACCAGATTATTTTAATACTGACTGGCAGGCCTTTATTCTGCTTTGACTGAAGTAAATGTGAGTTCTATCTTATTGATCATTGAGGGATAGGGTGCTTTTTTAATCACACTTATCACTGCAGAATCTATACGAAAATATAAGTCTTGCCATTTACTGCAACGGGAGCAGGAGCAGGCCATCAATATCAGAATAGAATAACTTTTCCCCTAAATTAAAGAGGAAATGGAATGCTTTAATAAGAAATCATGTATGTATCATAATCACACCAACCCATCCCATATTAATAACTATATTATTATGTAATTTTAGACTAATATCACCTAAATCTGTATTTTGGCTATTGAAAAGTAGATATTTATATTTTATCATTACCACAACTGATTGACTTATCTTGTTAAATAGCTGCTATATATGCATATTAAGCTTGTTTGCTAAAAATTGTTATGAAACTTTAAAATATTTCATTGAAAGAATGCATTAGCCAATTTTCAAATATCTGGATTTTTTC